CGTTTGCATTGCGTGTCGTCGCAAGAAATAGAATTCATCCGCCGAGAATCTAGCAGCTGATGATCGAGTCACCAATTCAAATTCTTCACTTTCCCTTTATGCCGTCTCGTGTGTGTTGTGTGCCGGTCTCGACCGTTTCCTTTGCAGTGCCAATTTCTGTTGCGTTCCCAAAGGCAATCGTTACTGTGCATTGGCTTTGAACACATCGCATGGGATTTGCATGATTCGCAAAGTAATACATTGCAACGTATGCTAAGAAGAGCCACTGGCCAAAACGTCACGTATTATATCTTCTATACTGGACTGTATTTTTATTTTAAGGCAGCGTTGTTGACAAACGTGAGTTAGTTTGCTGTGTTTGTGCACTACAGCCAACGCAGCGTCAACAAATAATCCGTATGCTTTTTTTCTCTTTTACTAGACCTTGTTTTTAAAATATAATTTCCTGTGCTTGTGTTTGCATTGTCTTCTCTTATCAGTATCTTTCTCAAGAGCATTAGCTGCCTACCCCGTTTCATTTCCACTTTTCCACCACCATCGTTTTCCCAATAACTTTAGCTATTTCGGTACTTGTTCTCAGTAGGTTTATCTCACTATACTCCATCACAAGGCCGTAGCCATGGAGTCAACATTGGGAGGGACCAAATCTTCCAGGGGGTCCCAACCCAGAAGAACGTCTAAATTTGAAAACTCATTTCCTGCCCAAAATATGTAAAAATTCACTAACACATGGGATGGACTTTTATTTTTTTACAATGTCTAATAGTGTATTGTATTACATTGCTCTGTTTTTACTTTTTTACCATTTCTTGTTTCATTGTATGTAATGTTTGAGATTAGGGATTAATAAAGCACAACCATAACCACAATCATATAAACAGAAATCTGTGCATTGATTTATTTGAAGACAAGTCTAGATATTGTGGCCAAGGTTGAGCAAATTGTTGTTTTTATTTACATAGCATAGCAATTATTATTATTTTTTTATTTTTTATAGCAACATATTAGTGGGGGGGGGGGGGGCATTTTGAGCATATTTCAATATATTATAATATATTATAATTACGGCCTTGCTCTATCACAATACCGTGGTACGTTTTTTTTTTAATCGGTGTCTGCTTATCGTTGTTGAACAGTGGTGATTCGGTACTTTTCCACTAAGGGGCCGCCCATAAATGACGTCATGCACCTAGGGGGGGGAGGTTAGACATTTGTGGCGATGTGTGACGAGGCGGGGGGGGGGGTTAATTAAATAGACTTTTAAATAAATGGTTTCTCCTACAACATCAGAGTGCAGCGCCACATTAAATACGCACTACAATGGCAATAGTTTAAAGCGATTTGAAGCATGTTTTATTTTGGGGGGGGGGGCAGAGCTTTGTGACGTCATATTTGAGGGGGGGGGGTCTGACTTTTTGTGACGCCGTGTGACGAGGGGGGGGGCATTCAAAAATCGTCCAAAATCGCGTGACGTCATTTATGGACGACCCCTAACATGTTTTGATTTCCCGTCAATGACGAGGAAAACCCCCGTAATTAGTATTGGCATTAGCCAAGCTTATGGGCCCCCATAATGTGGAATTGGCATTTTCCAGAGGCAAGACTGCGCAGCAGTGTGAGCGTTGGCGACTTATATTATGCTGATGAGTCCTAACGAGGACAAACTCGTTCCACAATCATTGGCTATCACTTACCGCTGCTCTCAGTCGGTCACATTTGCTCATTTATCGTGATGGTGGCCGAAGACTCGAAACCCACAATGCACGTCGCTGAGCCCAATAACATTTGCCACCCCCCTTTCTGAAATACGAACATGATTAAGAAGCGTTTGCTCAAGTAAATCTGAGTGCACAGAGGCCATTGCAACAAGTTAACACTGTTTCTTGTTATTACAATGCACCAGTGCTAGGCTGGAGTTTGCTTCATTCACTCAAGGCAGCATTTACACAAATGCCCAATTGTTCCAGAACACGTGCTACAAATTTACATGCAACTCCAACTACTTTGCATGTTGCCGTGGTGTAATCGTACACCAGACTTGCAATGCAGGGGGTGCCGGTTCGCAATCCATCTCCCGGCAATTGAAACAATGGGGCAAGTCTCTTAAATGTACTCCCCACCCCCTACCCCCCGACCCGACCGCCTTTGTCTTCCCTGCAGTCTAAATGGGTGCACCACAGTCGATGGACAGGTTACATGTGGTGAGGTAGAGTGGGGAGAACTCCAAGCTCGTCCAAGACGTCTGGTCAACTTGGAAGGGTAGGCCAAAAACACCGTAGAGAGTTCCATTCAGTGGAGGCCTTTTGCCCAGCAGTGGCGTGAACAAGAGATGTTAACTCCCTCGCCTGGTATGCAGGAGGACGTGGGTTCGACCTCGAACCCTAACGCCTCCTGTATATTTGGAGTTTGCGTGTCTCTCTCTCATCATCACCACGGTGGCTAGGAGATGTTAACTACCTCGCCTGGTATACAGGAAGTCGTGGGTTCGATCCCGAACCCTGACGCCTGCTGCTGTATATTTGGAGTTTGCGTGTCTCTCTCTCATCATCATCAGGGTGGCTAGGAGATGTTAACTCCCTCGCCTGGTATGCAGGAGGACGTGGGTTCGACCCCGAACCCTAACGCCTGCTGTATATTTGGAGTTTGCGTGTCTCTCTCTCATCATCATCACGGTGGCTAGGAGATGTTAACTACCTCGCTTGGTACGCAGGAGGTCGTCGGTTCGACCAGAACCGTGATGCCTGCTGTATATTTGGAGTTTGCGTGTCTCTGAGCTATCATTTGCGATGGCCAGGTCGCTTCTGAAAAAGAGCTACATACAGTGAGGGAAAAAAGTATTTGATCCTCTGCTGATTTTGTACGTTTGCCCACTGACAAAGAAACGACCAGTCTATAATTTTAATGGTAGGTTCATTTGAACAGTGAGAGACAGAATAACAACAACAAAATCCAGAAAAACGCATGTCAAAAATGTTATAAATTGATTTGCATTTTAATGAGGGAAATAAGAATTTGACCCCTCTGCAAAACATGACAGTACTTGGTGGCAAAAACCTTGTTGGCAATCACAGAGGTCAGACGTTTCTTGTAGTTTGCCACCAGGTTTGCACACATCTCAGGAGGGATTTTGTCCCACTCCTCTTTGCAAATCTTCTCCAAGTCATTAAGGTTTCGAGGCTGACGTTTGGCAACTCGAACCTTCAGCTCCCTCCACAGATTTTCTATGGGATTAAGGTCTGGAGACTGGCTAGGCCACTCCAGGACCTTAATGTGCTTCTTCTTGAGCCACTCCTTTGTTGCCTTGGCCGTGTGTTTTGGGTCATTGTCATGCTGGAATACCCATCCACGATCCATTTTCAATGCCCTGGCTGAGGGAAGGAGGTTCTCACCCAAGATTTGACGGTACACGGCCCCGTTCATCGTCCCTTTGATACGGTGAAGTTGTCCTTTCCCCTTAGCAGAAAAAACACCCCCAAAGCATAATGTTTCCACCTCCATGTTTGAAGGTGGGGATGGTGTTCTTGGGGTCATAGGCAGCATTCCACCTCCTCCAAACACGGCGAGTTGAGTTGATGCCAAAGAGCTCCATTTTGGTCTCATCTGACCACAACACTTTCACCCAGTTGTCCTCTGAATCATTCAGATGTTCATTGGCAAACTTCAGACGGGCATGTATATGTGCTTTCTTGAGCAGGGGGACCTTGCGGGCGCTGCAGGATTTCAGTCCTTCACGGCGTAGTGTGTTACCAATTGTTTTCTTGGTGACTATGGTCCCAACTGCCTTGAGATCATTGACAAGATCCTCCCGTGCAGTTCTAGGCTGATTCCTCACCGTTCTCATGATCATTGCAACTCCACGAGGTGAGATCTTGCATGTAGCCCCAGGCCGTGTTGTGGTCAGATGAGACCAAAATGGAGCTCATTGGCATCAACTCAACTCGCCGTGTTTAGAGGAGGTGGAATGCTGCCTATGACCCAAAGAACACCATCCCCACCGTCAAACATGGAGGTGGAAACATTATGCTTTGGGGGTGTTTTTCTGCTAAGGGGACAGGACAACTTCATCGCATCAAAGGAACGATGGACGGGGCCATGTACCGTCAAATCTTGGGTGAGAACCTCCTTCCCTCAGCCAGGGCATTGAAAATAAATCGTGGATGGGTATTTCAGCATGACAATGACCCAAAACACACGGCCAAGGCAACAAAGGAGTGGCTCAAGAAGAAGCACATTAAGGTCCTGGAGTGGCCTCGCCAGTCTCCAGACCTTAATCCCAAAGAAAATCTGTGGAGGGAGCTGAAGGTTCGAGTTGCCAAACGTCAGCCTCGAAACCTTAATGACTTGGAGAAGATTTGCAAAGAGGAGTGGGACAAAATCCCTCCTGAGATGTGTGCAAACCTAGTGGCAAACTACAAGAAACGTCTGACCTCTGTGATTGCCAACAAGGGTTTTGCGACCAAGTACTAAGTCATGTTTTGCAGAGGGGTCAAATACTTATTTCCCTCATTAAAATGCAAATCAATTTATAACATTTTTGACATGCGTTTTTCTGGATTTTTTTATTGTTATTCTGTCTCTCACTGTTCAAATAAACCTACTATTAAAATTATAGACTGATCATTTCTTTGTCAGTGGGCAAACGTACAAAATCAGAAGGGGATCAAATACTTTTTTCCCTCACTGTAGCTAGTGGGCCTTACCTGGTAAAATAAAAAAAATGGTTTAATAGTTTAAGTGAATAGTTTTAGAACGTAAATTTAGAAAGTGTACTGTAAAGGATCGTTTAAAATATTACTTTGCGTGTTGAGTGCGTTAATTTTTAAAATTTGAGATTATGCCTTTTCACATACAGTAAATGATTTTCTTCCTCAGCACAACTCGAAAGACACACTATAATTTAATACAAGATAATCATTTCTCAATGCGTTTCAAATTAGTCTGAGTGTTGAAATGTAAGATGCGATTTTCTATTATCCACGAACTCCATGAAATACAGTACATCAGTCTTATGGTAACTTTATTCAAAACACTACCTTCATGATTAAATGCAGTAATGATGTAACATCAGGCAATTTAATGGCAGCTTAAGCGACTACAATGCCAACCGCAATAGCCACGAGGAAAATGTTATCAAACATCACGGAATATAACATTGGCACGGGATACAAAACATAATGGAAAAGTTGCAAGCAAGTTTTCATATTTAGTCAACAATACATATGCATTATAAGTATTACAGGTTATCAACGTTACAGCAAACATCTCCGTTTTGAAGTACAGGGCAAAATGCTCCTTTACATCCTGTAAGACCTGCTGTGTACCTTGGCCGAGAGAAAAATAAAGTTTGAATAGCGTTGAAAAGCCAGATGTGACCTGAGAAGAAAGATACACTGTGATGCCCCATATGACACAGTATGTAAAGAAGAAGACTGCTTTAATCTTGATTCTGAAGCTTTCGTGACTGCAGGAATCCATACTCTTTGGTTCTTTCGGTAAAGTCACGTAGTAGGTGTAAAATAAAATAAATCACGACGTTTCGGGCGCAACACAAGCGTCCATCGTCAGGTGGGAAAGCGTGGTCCTGCTGCTGAGGCAGACTGTTTTAAAAGGTTTTGCCTTTGCCTAAAAGCAGAGCAATATCGAGCCACTTTCACCAACATCTTTGCCGAAGCCTTCGCAGTGTCGTTAATTGTAACTAAAGTATTTCTCAAGAGAAAAAACACACTTCAGGTGGAACTTTGCATTCGTGGGTAAACTCATTTTATTATTTTCATTATTATTATTATTTTTCTACCTACGTGACTTTACCGAAAGAACCAAAGAGTATGGATCGTTGCAGTCACGAAAACTTCAAATCTATAATCATTCCTATCTTACATTTCTATTTTGTCGCAGCAAGTATGAAAATACCGTGTTTCTTACTTGCTTCATGTAATTCAGTGGGTGTCGGTAAGCTAGTTAGGCGATAATACAACGTAAGTTTACCATTTTTAGTTGGCACTGCCATGCTAAGTCGCACGGGCATTTAAACTGAGTGTTCAGTCGGCACTGCTGTGCAAGGTCAGTCTTGTGAGAGAAAAAAAACATCGACCTGAGTAAACTGGTAAGTGAAAAGTCGCTGCTCATTGGATCTGTATGAAACAACTCCCACCGTTAACATGCCCATACCCGATGCAAAGGAATTAGTAAAAAGCATATTTACATATTTATTGTGTATGCTGTCAACTTTCGCGATGCATTAGTATCTAGTACAAAAGAAAGGTTGCCCTGTTAGACGTGTGTCGCAGAGCTCCAGCATTATCGCAATTAACTCGATCGCGTGCACGACCTGGGCGATTATTATTTTCCCATAGCGGTAACAGAAAATTACAGGCATTAAACAGACGATGATTGTGAACTTTGAACTTCCACCAGGGGGCAATAACAAGGTTTGAGACTTTTTATATAACGTAAAAAACACGAAACAAAAACTCAGCACTTTTTTTGTGTTTAAATAGGTTACAATTTACACGTCGGCTACTCCATATTCAACAAACAACACTTCAGTGCTCTCGGTGAATTGTGCTCTCAACTAATTTCTAATCCCTCTACAATTCTGCGAGTGTGTGTGTGCGTGCGTGCACGTGTGGGAGAGGTGGGACTTGCATGGATATTACATACACAGTTCCAGCAATTGTAAAGACACACACACACACACAAACCCAAAATATGCATCCATGAGTGGTACAATGTCAAGACAAAATGCAGTTAAGGAAAAGTGGAGTTGTGAGGAGAGTCGTAGTTGTGATTTGTTGCCTGGGAATTGAAGATAATAAGGGCTACATTTTTGAAGGCGGTGGGAGCTACAGACTAGTTGGTTGCAACTAATTTGATGGAGGAAGCAGCAAAGAGGCAATTATAGAGCGCGGGACGGGTGGTTGTGGACTGTGGTTGGTACGCAAAGCTGTCTCGTGTTGCTTAAATGATCTTCCGTCAATGGCCTGCACAAAGTTGCCCCCTTGTTGAAATGTCGTATGCGCACTTTTCGGAACAAAACTGTGGTGGACACACGTGTGTATACCCTCTAAGTGCGCGGGAAAGTGAAGATTAATGACAGGAAAACATTGCGTATGAAACCCTTCAAAAGCGTGTTTTTGTTCTGTGAATATTAAGGAGCATTAGGCCACGACAATAATTAATGTACATCAGATAAAAGGTAAAAATCAAACGGTCAAAATATTACATTTCAGTAATTTTGCAACAAAATCCTACTTGTATTTAGAAACTGCATGCAAGTTCTATAGGTCTTTCAACACACAGCCAAAACACCAGGGTCCCAGACACATGTCACCTACTGTGATATATAACAAGAGTAAAAAAAATTTCCACGACTTGGAAACGCAGGTCAGAACAGCTCCCCTTTTACAGGAAAAAATTACGTCAAAGTCATAAAGCATCCATGGTCTAAAACAACGACGAGTTACAACGATAAGGCAGGCGATCAACTGCTGTATACATATGACTACAAGGTAAGGCCAAACAATGCATCACACTGCACAGGACTCAAATATCGTTAAGTTTTGCTTCCAACGTTTTACCGCAGTTTATTGCTAACCGTGGATTGCATGTTGAACTAAACAATTTCCACGTCGACACACAACGAAGACGCAAACATGAATTGCTTCAAAGTCACAATAACCACTTGAAAATCTCTTTCCATGGGCCTCCAATAATTCAAACTCATCTTAACGTCGCCAATCGGATGGGAATACGCGAGGTGACAGGAGAGCCAGTTTAGAAGCAGTGACCTTCACAGTTACACAACGTTATTCCCCCCCCCCCCCTCCCCGTGCCCGCTGCTGGCCAGCGAAGCCGGGCGGTTCGCCTTGTGCCCGAGGCGTCTCGCCGAGCAACGGGAAGGCATCGGGGCGATGGGCACGGCGACGCGTCTTCCCGACCGACGGGAGCGTGCGCGGAGGATCAGTCACCTCTCTGCGTCGACGGACCCAGCTGACTGGCGGGGCCTCTGCCAAACCAAACCGCGTGACTTCATTTGCGGCCGTCACTCAGGACGGCAGCGCGCGGACGGACGTTCAGGTGCGGCGGTCGCTCCGCTGACAAAAGCCGTGTGCGTTGGAGTCTCCTCTATAAGTGTAGTTTACAGCGTGGAAATGTGTTCCGTGCCAGTATTCCTAAGTGGTGGCAGGCACGAAATGAACTTGATTGTTTGCTGCTGCTGCTGCTGCTGCGTTGGCAGTGGTGCACATGTACAAATATCTATGCCACCCTTTTTTTGCCAGTATCAAAATGATGGGGAAAAAAACAGAACAGGCTTTACACTAAAACGGCAAGAATGCAGGTGGTGTCAAGATGTTCAAACAGCAAATATACACCCATCACAAGGCATCGAGTCCGCATTAACCACACATGCTTGTAGTAAAACATTGCCTTTGGCTGCAAAGCCAGAAGGAATGATGCAAGCAGTAAACAGCTTGCCTTTAATCAAAAAGCTATATCAATACTCGTTATCGGATTTAGACATCACGCCGTTTAAATATGTGTCCCACAGTTTGAATAAACAGTCGTAGATTTTTGCAACGATTTTTTAAAGATTTTTTTTCATTTAGAGACATTTCAGTGTTTTATTGCTGTAAGTTCTTGCAGCTGACATTGACGGACACTAATTCGGAGGGGAGGATGTCGGAGGAAGATTGACAAAGTCAACGGCTCCTCTGCATCTCTCCTTCAACAGAGCGGTGGCTTTGGTTGATGCCACACGCCAAAACCACCACTTCATGGTATGGAATGGGTGAGCACTCCACCACCTATGTTTAACCATTTATTCTCCCCCAAATATACCGGATAGAATATATTCTCTCGACTGAAATTGCATTTGTTAATGTTCACCTTCTCTCCAAATACTACGATTGCTAAGAATTATTATGGCACGTAGGTTAATATTTGCAGACTATGTCAATAGTAATGCTGTTTTCAGCTATTGGCTCAACAACCATCGAACATAAGGACCAGGATTTGCACCAATATCTTACTTTATAGTTTTATATATATTTTTTTGTAAATTTCAAATTAACCTAAATTAATGTATTTTTACACCTTTAATGGTCGAACCGTCACGATGCAAATAATATTTGTAACTTCAAATAGCCAAGCATTTGAGCTTTTACACACGTCTAAAGTTTTGCACTTTGTATCTGGACGAGATGGTTAATTTTCTCAACTCGTGATTCTACAAACCCAAACTATATTTATTTTTGATTGCGTAATCCAGGATTCCATTGCATTTTTGTAATTGAGCACAATGCACATTTTGCCTTTTAAAACATTCCCAATTCCTTGTTTCAGTAATTTACATACACTTACAATATTAATTAATCACAATGTGACTTATTGCATGAGTAAATCACCAGGGGCATCATCCAGCCCCATTTCATCATCCTCCATAGGATCCCCAAACAGCATCAGGAGTTGTGAGCCCAGGAAATGAATCCCTGGGGGGTGTGTGTATGTATGCGTTTGTTGGATGCAATCTGTCCCATCTCTTGCCTCCGATACAACACAGTAATACTAACGGCGGTGACAATCACGGAGCAGAATATCCGTGGGAGGGAAGTGATCCCTGATGAAACTCATGAGACCAACTCCTATCTGATATATTCGTGTAACTATATGACGTACATTTCTTCTAATTGGCCTGTCAAATGCACGTCAGCAAACATGTGCTATATTTTTACACTGCGGGCGTACTCGAGCAATTGAGTAAGACATCAAAGGACTGTAATGGTCCAGCTGCTTCCATCGATGTTTTTAGACTTTCCTTTCACGGGGCTACGGGGGGGGGGCGGAGGGGGGGGGGCTGACGTCTGCACGTCACTCGGCTGAGAGGGCGCCGCTTGCGTTCGTGAAACCGCGGGGCAGACACGTATCCGGGGGTCCACATCGGCTCAGATGCGGGGAGCAGACCGGTCGTTGGTGATGGTCCTGCGCAGCCGCACTCCGCGACGGATGGAGCTCAGCACGTCTTCGCCCTGGGAGGGCGACGGGGGCGACGGGCACGGAGACACGGGGATGGTCTTCACCCCCAGCGGGCAGCTCGGCTCCGCGGGCGAAATCCCATGGTGGCGGGAAACCTGCGCGCCGCTGTCCACCACGAGCGCCTGCTGATTCTCCGCGCCGCACAGCTCGTCTTTCACTGCGTCGCGTTCCCGCGCCGCGATCCGCCTCGGAGTCTCCGCCGCAGGGACTGGCGAGGTAGGAGAACCGGGGGCGCTGCTTTGAACCGAAAACGCTCCGTCGGATTTGGAAGGCGAGGAGGCGATGCTGGGATCGCCGCAGTCGCTGGCGGTGGAGGAGCCGACGCTGCCGATCACGGGGGACGCGCCTCGCTTGTGCTCCTGCGCGCCGTCGCAGTGGCCGGGGGATCCGCGGCGGTGCTCGGGAGCGAGGGGCGAGCCGTCGCGTCCCGGCGAGCCGGGACGCTGCCCGTGCGACGCTCGCGTCGGCTCAGACGCGCCGCCGCCGCCGCCGCCGCTGCTACCGCTACTGGGAGAGGCGCTGCCGCCGCTCAGCTGCAGAGACTCGTCGCTGCCGGCGTGCGAGGGCGACAGGCTGCCGGGCAGCGTCGGGACGGCGGGGGGCTTCACGGGGACGACCGGCGGGCGGATGGGAATGGGCCCCGCCGCGGACCCCGCTCGCCGGAGCAGGGGCTTGCTGGACGGGTTGCGGCGGATCGTGGCTACTCCGGGGGTGCCGGCCGTCGCGGCGCCGCCACAGTTGGGGATGCCGGCGGTGGAGGCCGGACGCTTGGAGTGGAACATGCGGCGGTAGGACTGGCTCAGGTCGCTGTTGCGAGGGATGGTGCACGACCGGTCAAACTCCACGGCGGGTTCCAGCTCTGCATCACCGTTCACCGAGAGACAGTCAGAATCTGAAACTGCAAGGGGGGAAAAAAGCGCGCGCTCTTAGCTGTTAGTCGTTTTGCACGGTGTTTGTCTAAATGCAGTTGAGCGCCGAGGCTTTTGTGGCCAAAGGGCCGCTAAAAAGTAAACCTCACGCCTCCGACACGTCAGCCAGGTCTGGTCACCGTGAAGCAATAACGCGGCCACCTCGAGTGCACAAGAAGTATTTGTGGGGCCCCTTTGTTTGCGAGGCATCTACTATGATGCATGCAAATATCAAAACACATTTGCACGTTTTGCCACACGCATGTGTAGTTAATTCAGACTTGATGCCTTCTGACGGGTATCTCTTTGGTTTTTTTGAGCATCTTGACACCATCTGTATTCTTGCCGGAAAAAGGCAAAGCCTATTCTTTTCTTTTTCATCATATTGATACTGGAAAAAAAGGGTGCCAGAGATATTTGTACACGTGCACCACTGTCAATGCAGCGGTAGCAGCAAGCAGCTAATAATTAAGTTAATTTCGTGCTAATAACCTCTTAGGAATACTGGCTCAATTAAAATGCCCTTTCCATGGTCCCGTACTAAGATCTTCGGCCTCTCATACCTTGAGAGGGCAGGGTGTCCTCAGAGCACGAGGGGGTGGTGGTCTGTGTGCTGTAGCCGCTCGAACCCTGCATGGAGTCGCGATTGCTCTTCTGACTCTCCAGATGAAGCCCGCGCTTCAGCACCAGGGCCAACTCGCTCGCGCTCACTTCCCCCACCTGTGGCGGCGGGCGGGCGCGGGGCGGACAGGGGAGGACAGGCGGGGACAGGCGGGTGCAAAAGGCCATCACAGAACGGCCACGGGAGAGACGCACAGCAAACACAGCGACACGCTCATGCCGGACACGCAGCGCATGGAGCAGGGCGCGCAGCATGCAGCAACGTCGTCCGGACAGCGGCCGCGGCATCCCGCGCGATCACGCCCGCCGACGAGGGCAGAGCCACATCACCGTCGCCGCACTCCTCCTGTGAGCGCTTCGCCCGGGCCGAGACACCACGCAGTGAAGCCAGCGAGCCGGATTCTTCTCCGTCTCTCCGTCTTCGGTTCGGACTCGGACGCGGGCTTCGTCAGTTGGCTATTGTCAAGGGGGGGCTTCCTTCTGGTGTTAGGAAGCCACTTGAGGTGTGCACTTTGAGATCTAAATTGAAAACTCATTTCTTTTAGAGCTGCTTTTTGCGTTTAGTTTGTCGTCCTTCCCCCCTCACCCCCCCCCACCTCCGATGAGCATGGCCGGCTACGTAAGGTGTGAAAGAAGTTCTGCATGCATCCATACATGCGTAGAGAACGCTTGCTCAAAATGAGGTCGTAAGCATCAACGGGCCTTGCGTATCTCTGTGGAAAGGATGAAGCCAGCACGGACATCAGCATTTGGGAGTGCGACACGACGGAGCGTCAACAAAAATGTGCAGCTCTGCTGCTCCCCCCCCGTTGCAACGTCTGCTCCATCGCATGCGACCTCGCGATGCACCACACACGGAGGCACGGGGGACTCCCATCCGGTGTCGTGTGTCGTTCACCGGCGTCTCTCCGTAACGCTCCACACGCTCGACGCGTGTGGAGCGTTACGGAGGGCAACTGCAGGCGGGAACAGGCAGCTCTCGCTACGGCGTAGACTTCGCAGCAACAGCAGCAGCAGCAGCAGCGAACCAGAAGAGAGAGCCCCTTGCACGCGGGATCCGAGCTTTTGTTCACGCCTGAAGATGCTAAATGTAAACTCGGTCAAAACGTCGAATGTACATTGTCAAATTGTTGCTTGCCTTTCAACATTCCTGTTTATTTCCCAATAAAACAAAAACATTTCCATATTCGTATGCATGTATGTGTGTTGAACTTCTTTCGCACCATACGTAGCCAACCTCGTGGGGAGCGGTAGTGTAGCGGTTAGCGCGCTGCGCTACGAACCTGGCGACCCGAGTTAGATTCCCGCTCATGGCCAAAATCAGTGACGATTATCTGAAACGGTCCTGGGCCTCCCCTAGGTCGACTCAGCCTCAAATGAGTACCAGGTGCGATGTGTAAACATCGCCACTAGGGAGACAAAGGCGGCCGGGCGTGGTGCTGGCCACCCACCCCCTCGTGTGCCGTTCTGGCCTTTATAGGTGCTCACTAACAGCACTTACCCCAACAGTCTGTTACAGGCTATACGGGGGATCTTTGTCTTTAAACTTCTTTCGCACCATACGAAGCCAACCTTGCCAATCGGAGGTGTGGTGGAAAGGACAAAAGCCTAAACACAAAAAGCAGTTCTAAAGAAAGTTGAGTGACAACTTTATTTGATTGGCTCAGTTGGATGATGGAGGATTATAGTTGAATACTTGGCATTATATCTACACGACGATCTGACCCAAAAGAAACGAATTATGAATCATAATATTGATCGTGAAAAACTATGTTTCAAATGATCTGCAACGTGGTCTCATATCCTATCAAGTGCTTGAACTACCGAAGTATCCCCAGAACTCCACCGATATTGGGGAGAATAAAGCTTTGACTGGCGCACACTGCTAACGAGTAATAACTTTTGATTTAAAGCTTTCGTGACTGCAGTGATTCATATTCTTGGTTCTTTCGGTAAAGTCACGTTGAAGGGAAACAATTAAATAATAAAATATATAGAAAACAATAAAATTATCACGACGTTTCGACTGTAACACAAACAGCCATCATCACCTGATGATGATCCGGTCCTGGGCCTCCCCTAGGTCGACATCATCACCTGATGATGGCCGTTTGTGTTACAGTCACCTGATGATGGCTGTTTGTGTTACAGTCGAAACGTCGTGAGAATTTTATTGTTTTATATATTTTATTATTTTATTGTTTCCCTTCAACGTGACTTTACCGAAAGAACCAAGAATATGAGTAATAAATAAGTGGAAAATGGCTCACAGGCGTTTACAATTTGAGTACTGTGGGTTTACTCTTCAACACACCGGTGTGCTGAAGTAGTAACGAATTGGCACGTTTTGCTTACGTGACAAAGCTTACTCATTGGCTGTGTCGGGTGGTGGCGGGTTTAACGACAAATTTACATATTTACGCGATCTAATACACAAAAAAATAGTTTTTACGGATAACATTGTTCGCGAAACGCGTTAAACTGAGTTTCGTTTTATATATATATACAATAAAAAAAAGGCGAGAGCGAGACAAAACGGAAGAAACGCGGCTGCAGGCGGCCACCCAAAACGCACCTTGATGCCGGTGGGCACGTCGATGCTCCGGGGCCTCTGCTGGCCCTCGTCCGGCTGGCAGGTGGCGGCGTCCCCGTCTGCCCCTTTCTCGGCATCCCCGCATTTCGCCTTGGACTTGTCTCTGCGGCGCTGCAGCGTGTTCACCATCGGCTGGTCGTACGGCCCGGGCTTCGACCAGTCCTGAGCCAACGCGCACGGAACGGCACGAGCGGAGACGGAGGCTTTTCGCGCGCGTTCACACGTGTCGCCGTTCACACGTGTCGCCGTTCACACGTGTCGCCATTCACACGTGTCATCGTCGACTGCGTTTTGCACACCTCCTGCCAATCTTGGCCATTTGCATTTAAACCAGGGGCGGGGCCAGGGGGCGGTGACAGGGGTGACATTCTGCGTATAAGTGTACGACACTCGGTCTGGCGAACTCCGTGCAACTGCATTGTCAGAGTGTGTCGCCAACCGATGGCGTCTGAGTTCAACAGCCTGACTCGCTAATCATTCTTGAAATTAACATTTGTTGAATGTCACCCCGGGCTGAAATCCTGGCTCTGCCCCTGATTTAAACCCCAACATCAGGCAATGGGGATCTCTTCTAAAGTACTCATTATCATCACTCACTCCCCACGTACGGTGATCCGAGTTCTTTTCCCACACCACGGAGAACTATGCTTCCCAAATAAGAGTAAGGTTGATTCGTTCATCACGAGGCATTCTTTTTTCCCCCCACAGTCATTTAAGCATGTAAACATGTACGCATTATATATTCGCTACGAGCCTAAAACATTGGCCGTTGTGTCTATATATATATATTTTTCTTTTTAGGCCACACACATAGTTTCTGTTTTTTTGTTGTTGTTTGTTAATCGTGCTTGCGCAAGTGCAGCGGCGGAAACGCCAAATAATTTACGTAAAACACAATCAGACCACTGTGACGTAAAGTGGAGGCACGTGTGAGACCGCATATATCCACTGTGTAAGACCACATTTACTCCGCTTTTCACTCCAAGGGGGAAAAGGAAAAAAACTAAAATCTCCGTTTCAATAAACTGGGCGATAAGTGCGCCGTTGAATCTTTGCCCAGTTCAAAATTACAAATGTAAAGCCGCACAACGTGACGGTACATATCCCTCTTTAAAGTGTAAATACCGGGGGAATTTATTTTAAGCGGCGCAGGCGAGATTATTCCTGGTATGGCCCCAACCCCGGCCAGATGGTGCGCGCAGGGTACATCATTACCAACATTCTGGCCACTGAACATTACATATTATTTACAGTTAATGACTGCCTCGTTGCATGCAAGCTGGAGACTGTACAACAACGCCCGAGTTAGTTTGGAAATAACAGAGTTGGGTGCCTGGCACAGTCCTAAATGAGACATTTGGGTATCGTGATGACTTTTTCAAATGAGGATCCCAATGAATGTCCCTTATGAGCATTTGGATGCGAGATTATAGATATGCAATGTAATCCAAGGCAACTAAGAACAACCCTGTGTTCAATTCCATAACACCTACCATGTAATGGATATGTGAGCAAAACTGATATTTGCTGACAGTGAAAAAACATTAATAAATCCACTGGGCATTATTTAGTTATATCTTACAAATATATTAATTCTCCATGGCCTCTCGCATAGTTAGCTCATGCGGTATGCACACTATGGGTGGTATGAGTGTAAACAGCAGTGTGTATATATCACAGTGCACAAGTGATCTCAGTCCATAAACCATACTACCAGGGAGGCCGTGGCTATAACCATCAAACCATGGACCACGCTGTGCCGAATATCAAATTGGAGGCAGTGTGTGGGTGAGCAGGTGAGTGTGTGGGTGGGTGAGTGAGCAGGTGGGTAGTTGGTTCAGTGGGGCAGTGGGTGGGTGAGTCGGTGGGTATAGCTGCAATTTATCAACTCTCAGACCAAAACAACTCAATGTCCAAATTGTTTACGCGCAAATCTCTCATAGTTGCTCTTCATTGGCCGTACTAAATCACTGTCGCCACCTGAGTTTGTCCCATTACCTCCGACCGGTGGCGTCTTCAGCGCTCAGCATGGCCTCAACGTGAACCTATCCTGGCACAAAAAGTGCTGTGGCGAAGTCACCACCGCTGAAGCGACAACGTTTTTTTGTTGTTGCTGTTGATGTTATTGCCACAGAGTGAGCGCGTATCGCCACCATCAGACAGGCGCGGAAATACGAGCACGGCATGTGCCGAAGCACCTTCCGGGTTTCCCGGCGTTCAGGAGCAACGCTCGAATCTCGGAGGCGCCGAACACAACACCATTAATTTGGTATTCATTTCACGATGGCCGACTAGCCTTGTTTTCAGCTGGATTCATTGGGCGAGGCTACGGAGGGGTCACGCTGTGCCTGTGCCGTTGCACACCTCACATGCGGGGGTGGGGGCATAGAATAAGAAGGGAGGCACGTTATTGACCTTGATAACATCGCCATTTTGTCAATCCACTGCTGGATGAATGGCTCCCCATGCTGTGTCGGGTTCATTGGGGGTTGCTCGACCGCGTTTTCGCCACACTAATCAGTGTGGCTTCCGATATTTGCCACCGATGTTAGCCGTGGATAGGAATCCAATTCAATTTCTTGGATTCAGAGAGCAGTGCGCAATTAACCTTCGTAACTTGCGCTGATTTCACAGCCATACCCTTTTAAATACCGAAGCATATTTATTTGAATAAGTCAGTCCCAGGAAAAAATCCAAGTTTTAAGATACCCTTTTTTTCATTTACCGCAATTCTTTTTTGTAATAATCCAAAGAGGCTCTCGCTTGAATAGAGTACACAGAGTGCTTTGGAGAGCTCAGACCGCAACGTGGCTTTTTGGGTCTAGAGAAACATTTCTCAATGTCCCAGATAAATGTGTCCAACTCCAAAGGCGAGATCTTATCCAGGGTTTACTGCAGAAACGGAACAGCGTGCCAAAGGCAAGGGCTCTGGTTTCTCTCCTCAAGGTACGTGACGACCCCCGCAACAATTCCAAAACTGTGCAAGATAAAGAGGCAAATACCCCGAATTATTGAGCGGCACAGTGTGTGTGGCGCGGTCACACAGAGAAGGTGGACTCTTTGTGTGTCCGTGTGTGGCATGCTCGCGCAGAAAATGTGGACTGTATGTGGGTGGCACGGTCACACAGAGAAGGTGGACTCTTTGTGTGTCCGTGTGTGGCATGCTCGCGCAGAAAATGTGGACTGTATGTGGGTGGCACGGTCACACAGAGAAGGTGGACTCTTTGTGTGTCCGTGTGTGGCATGCTCGCGCAGAAAATGTGGACTGTGTGTGGGTGGCACGGTCACACAGAGAAGGTGGACTCTTTGTGTGTCCGTGTGTGGCATGCTCGCGCAGAAAATGTGGACTGTGTGTGGGTGGCACGGTCACACAGATAAGGTGGACCCGTGTGTGGGTGGCATGGACTGGGAGGCGAACCTTCCAGCTGGGCACGCGCGAGGATGGGGTGAAGCCGGGCAGCATGGGCACGGGGGAGTAGGGAGGGAGGGAGGCGGGCCGCGGGTGGCACGCCCGGGGAGGGGTAGGCGCTGGGTGCAGGACGCACTCAGCCACGGGGAAAACAAACGGCTGTGGCACGCACACAACGAAAACAGCACACGGACGATGAAGACTCAACAAAAATCGAAAGGAAAACACGAACGACGATGGCGGCACCGTTCAACGTAAATTAAACTCGGCAAAACAAACAAACAAACAAAACCTCGGCACGATGGTTTGAACCTTTCGACACAAACGTAGAAAAATCAGGAATTTCAAGTTTTAAAAAATCTCGTGCAAAATGTTTAAAGGGAAAAAAACGTGAATGTAAGCGTGTGCTGTATACTGTATATTCGGGATTCGACGAATTGTCAAATTTCTAAAATTAAACTCACGATACATCCATCAATTTGTGGACGTAAGAGTGGATCACTCACGATAAATTTCACACGGTTGGTGCATTGCATCACAGAAACCCCACGAACAGCGTAGGTTCTACATGCCAAAACAATAATCTATTCGCAAATATCATATAATCGCGAGAGTTGCTGAATCGTTCACAACCCTGACGTATATACAGTTGAACATCGGGGCTTGAAAGAGTGTGGGGATGGGTAGGGTACGGGTGGGGCAGGTGATGGTGGCAGTAGTGGAGGTGGTGGCGATGGTGGCGACGGTGGTGGCTTTGGAGGCGATGGTCGCGGCTATGGTGGCGGTTGTTGTGATCGTGGCGGTGGTTGCGATTATGGCTCCGTCCGTTTGTCCACGCCATGGCCGGCGAGCGGACAGACGCTCACCTTGTCTGCATGAGGCCCCGTGGAGGAGCTCACCACAGCTGGCGCCGGCGAGCCACAGCTGCTGACGGAGAGACCCGGCTCTGACGCCTCGGAGCTCGCAGAGCCCAGGGACTTCTGCGGCGTTTTAAATCCGAGCAGGCAACAACAACAACAACAAACAACAACATTGCAACGAGACATGGCGAGACGGGAGGATTGGATTACCGCTCTGGGATTTGGGGCAGAGCAGCGCGGAGCCACTTACCCTGCCTAATGAACCAAGACTGATAACTCTCAGAACACCAAAACACAAACACAGCAGCTATTTTAGACTCGTCGAGCCATGGGCCAGCATGGCCCCAGGCCGGCGGTCTTCCAACCCCCTTGACCGGTGGCGGAGGGAGGCCTTCGTCCAGCGGTGGATCGACTACGGAAACAATGTGAACCTCGCGGCGCTCCAGGGCTGCACACGCTCGAGTCTTTATTCCGTTCCCGCTGTCCCACCCGTTAACCGCGCGCACCACCTGAAGCGCACGGCAGGGCCTGCGGCGGCGCCACGCAGCACCGGGCCCCCGGCTGACCTGGCTGACCTGGCTGACGGCGTCAAGGGGCAGCGGAGAGGGCGGCTTGGAGTAGGCCACGTCCTGGGACATGAAGCCGGAGTCGTGCGAGGAGATGCTGGAGAGGCGCGTGGAGGGCAGCGCGGGGGTGTGCGCGTGCAGGCCATGGTAGCGGTAGTGCGACACCGCCGAGTAGGGGTGCGAGCCGCTCGACTGCGAGTCGCTGCTGTGGATGCTGTTCGAGCTGCAGGGACAGACGCGTGGAGCGGGGGTGCGCTCGATGATCACAAAGTTTGTACGTATGTCGAACTTCTTCTTTCGCACCGTACGTAGCCAACTGTGCTCATCGGAGGTGCGGGGGAAGGACATCATGTGGCAAGGCATCGACACGCTGGCCAAGTACGATTTTTCTGCCTCGTGATACAATCGATCGATGCACACATCTGGGTTGGGGCAGTGAGCCCAGTTCCCGCCGCCCGCTGGGCCCTGACGCGTTGAACTCGGTGACCGACACTTTGTTGGACTCGCGTAGAGTTGTGATTATAAAACAATAATATTGAAGCTATCTGCAGCTCGCTCAGAGCCGTCGATGCGTTGCCAGCGGCGGTGCACGACCACGAGCAAAGGAAACGACTCGACACACTCGTCAACACCGTGCGGCCTTAAAAGGGAAAATCTAAAATAGGCGGCGTTTTCGGCAACGGCCCTTCTCCATGGCACATACCAATCCAAATATATTTTTTTTGTCCGCGCTGTGAAGACCGGTCGTTTGCCAGAAACGTCACCTATTTTATATTTCTCCTTGTTCAGGCCACGGCGTTATTGGCACCTCCCATTAGCACGGTTGGCTACGTACGGTGCAGAAAAAAGTTCAACGTACGTACGTGCGTGCGTACATTGGCGACCGGGTTGAGTCTCTCTTTTTTTTATTTTTTTAAAGAAATTACCGTTTGGCGGATGGCGTCCCGGGACCACTGCACTTGCCCGTGGCCGGGTGAACACTCGGGTGGTCCACACGCCACTCTAATCTCCCTTAAGACGTTTTCACGACGTAAAAAAAGCGAAGCAGATGAGCCAGCACAGAGGGGTGACCCCACGGCGGCTGCATCACCGTGCAAATCTATCGGAGCAGGAGCGCGGCCGATGCTTTTTTTTTGCCGCTGCAACACGACCAGTGCGCCGACAACTAGGGTTATTAAAAAACTTATTATTATTTTTTTAAATCTCATGCAGTTACTATTCCTTCTCGAATGAATACACGACTGATGATTTGATGGAAAAAAAAAAACACAAAAACAAATCTACAGCAGCAGCGCTTGAGTCATGGTTTACCCTCGAACAAATATTGCGATAACATGTGAATCAGGGGCCCCATCACAGAAGCACCGAGATTCACAATCTCGCGTTCGTACACTTTGTTTTGTCTTTATCCACAGCTTTATTCTGACCGTGCTATTTGTCATCGTGCCATTAGGTGAAGAATCAATTTTGTACCCTTCGCAGGGCAGTGCAACCCTCTCGGTCACCCTTTTGCGAATGAGAATCATTGTAAGATGGAAAGTAACCTAGGTAGGTGGAGCGTTTAAAAGGCTAACCATGAATAACCCCACGCGAGAATACATTGCCAGACGACTGGGTCCAGTGTTTGTGCTTGTGGCCAACTTATCTGAAATTTAAAAAAACACACCCTAAACCGACTCATCCCGCGATGCTAGAGTTGCCGCGATGAAAGTCGTTGACCCCTTGCAATAAACAAAGATCCCACCCCCCCCCCCCCCGTGTAGCCTCAACAGACTTTTGGGGCAAGCGCCGCTAGTGAGCACCTATGAAGGCCGGCACGGCACACACACGAGAGCGTGGGTGGCCAGCAACCACGCCCGGCCGCCTTTGCCTCCCGAGTGGCGACCTTCACATGCCGCACCACGTGCTCGTTTGAGGCCGAGTCGACCTAGGGGAGAGACCCCCGGGGACCGGCTCGCACGTTGGCCCGCGATTGCGAATCGATCTCGGGGCCGCCGGGTTAGGGGCGCGGCACGCCAAACTGCTGCAGGGCCGCTCCCTGACGGCGTGGGGCCGTCGAGGACGTGCTACGGAGAGCCTGGCTCCCGCGGGAGAAGGCAGTGCAGCTGGCTCAACAACAAGAACAAAAAAGAAAGCGCAGTCAAGCACCCCGCCGCACGTGTCACCTGCACATGCTGGACTTCCGAGAGCCGGAGCTGCTGGGGGACGACGGTGGCGTCTGGTAGCTCCAGCTGTAGTCCGAGCCCTTCAGGTCCAAAATCACCTACGCCGTCCCGCGGGGAACAATTTGGAAGTGCGATTACAAGGAGGAAATCGATTATTGGGTTCATCGCCGGGCGAAGGCGGCTGTGCACGTGGCTGGCCGTCGTGCAGCGCCGGGGGGGGTGGAGGCAGCGATGAGGGTTGGCGGATGATGATGATGATGGTGATGATGGTGATGATGGTGATGGTGATGATGGTGATGGTGATGATGGTGATGATGATGTGTCAAACCCCCTTCCCGTGGGCGTCGTCAAGGGGGTGCCAGTAGCCTGCTTTTGTAAGAGAAGGCGGTACGGCAAATGTGTACGCCACTTGTTCCATCTGCATGGGATAGAGCGTTGCCCCCTCGCAAGCGTGGTTTTCCTCCAGGTGTTGACAGTATTCCCCCATCATCCGCGAGGGATACGCTCTCCGGGGGTGCTCGTGAAGAGCAAATTTCACGTATAATGATATTGGCTTAGGGGGGCAGGGGGGGAGTGGATGGGGGGAGAGGGGGAGTGGATGCGGGGGGAGTGGAGGGGGGAGTGGATTGGGGGGGGGGGATGAGGGGAGGGTGTGGATGTGGATATGAGTTGAGTGGATGGGGGTGGGGGGGAGTGAATGGGGGTGGGGGGGAGTGGATGGGGGGGGTAGTGGGCACAGCCTGCCGTGCCGCGTGCCTGTTCGCTGGCAGGGGGCAGGCGGTGTGGATCCACGGTGAGCTTGGCCAGGTCGTCCACGATGGTCTGCAGGTGCGTGATCTCCTCCAACATGGCCAGCTCCTCGTCCTGCACGCGCAGGAGAATCGCGTGGCGCGTTCATCCCCGGCGGTGGTAGCAGTACCCCCACTGCTCAATCTCAACTGGCATTTTGTTTGCTTTTATTTATAATTAAAAACATTTTTAATTTTAATTTAGTTTTTCTTTCTTTCTATCTATGTGACTTTACCGAAAGAACCAAGAGTATGGGATTTTACAGTTGTTGTTTTTTTACTCTGATTTATATTTGCTTTGTTGCTGTTGTTGTTGTTGGGGTGTTAACTCCCTCGCCAGGTATGCAGCAGATTGTGGGTTCGATTCCGAACCTGACGCCTGCTGTATATTTGGAGTTTGTGTGCCTCTCTTGCCGTGGTCGCTTGGATTTTTCTCCGGGTCCTCCGGTTTTTTCCCTCCACATCTTAGAATCAACATCACGCGTTGAGAGTATTTAGCTGCTATACATTTCCACGTGATAAGCCAATTTTGTCCATGTATCATTTGTGACAGGCAGGTCGCTTCTGAAAGAAGAGCTATATAGCTCAGTGGGGTCTTACCTGGTAAAATAAAATAAAAATATTAAGTTAGTTAAATGAGACTCATTCTGCTCTCACGCCCGATAAGACAAAATGAACGTGAACCCGATTTAAAGCTTTCGTGACTGCAATGATTCATCTTCTTTGGTTCTTTCGGTAAAGTCACGTAGAATGAGAATAAAATAATAAATTGATAAAATAAAATAACACAATAATATTCTCAAGACGTTTCGGCCACAACACAAGCGGCCTTCATCAGGTGAAGGGACGAGACTGTCTGGTAGGACAGCGCTGGAGTGAAAGAGCCACGTTCAGATCACGTCTCTGCGGATGTGTATGCTTTAACTTTTAACATAGCTATTTCTGTGACCAGTCACAAGCTAATCACTCAGCCATTTCAATGCTAAATTATATGCTAATTCCTTTGTCAAGGCGCTTTGTTTCCTCTCACACAGCTTAAAGGTCGTGATCTGAACGTGGCTCTTTCACTCCAGCGCTGTCCTACCAGACAGTCTCGTCCCTTCACCTGATGAAGGCCGCTTGTGTTGTGGCCGAAACGTCGTGAGATTATTATTGTGTTATTTTATTTTATCAATTTATTATTTTATTCTCATTCTACGTGACTTTACCGAAAGAACCAAAGAAGATGAACGTGAACCCGTTCGTGCCGTTTCTTACACACCCATATCTCACAAGATGAGGGCGTTTTTAAAACACGCGTATTGGGCCTGAACTAACATCTACTGTTTTATTTTTAGAAAAACGCTGCAATGTTATGGTGATTACAGAGCAGCTTACTTTACTGCCACATTTAAACGAGCTATACAAATTGTTAACGTAGATTTTTTTGGGGGGGTTTATTTTTTTTGTTCAACGTTTAGGAACGGTGGTGAATACTCGGGACCGAGGATAAGTGCACTTGCCGTGCGCCGGTGGCAACAAAAAATCAATGTGGATATTCAAATTGTGGGACGGTTGCCTCTGTATCCGCGATTCAGGATGGAGGGAGGAGGAGTGTTACGCCAAAACCATGACCTGAGACCAATTGCAGAATTGCGATCCGCAATCCCACAATTCATGGCCCATGGGTCAGAGCAGAAATTGGCATCACACCTAAGGTATAAAAAACTCCATTCGCAACGATTTCTTTACACTGGATAACGCCACTAATTTCATACGGCTATCGCACAATTAAACTGTTACTGGCCACATAAAAAAAATTGGAACGAGCGGTTGCCGACGAGTGAAATATCTCGTCCGGGCTCGTGGACTATTGTGACTAATCTCAAAGCCGAGATGAGCGTTCTATCCTTCACAGCCGACCCCCAAAACCTTCCCACTGGAGTGAGGGCTGAGTCCACAATTCAAACGGATTTACCCATGCATCAATCTTCGCAATGGCTTAGCGGATAATGCGGCGTGCATCTGGGATCCAGCTTAACGCGAAGGGGAGGGAGAAAGAAAAAAAAAATCGAGCCGTCGTGCAACGGAAATGTGCAGCTCAGCGCCCGATGCTTCCACCCCCCTTCGTGGCTGCGCCGTGATCGGTGCAGGCAGCGCAGGCAGTAGCGGTGGCGGTAGCGCAGGCTTCGTCGCAGGCAACGATGAAGGCAGGAGAACGCAGCCCCCTCCTGCAGCCGTGCGCTTTTAAATCTAAATTGAAAACTCACTTATCGTTCGTGGCCAGGTGGCTTCTGAAAAAGAGCTGTGTAGCTCAGTTGGCCTTACCCGGTACAATAAATAGTTGTAGTATTTGCGTTTTCCGTTTCGCCCGCCGGACAAAGTTATAACTGAAATGAACTTAAGCAACACAAAATGTAGAAACGCAGTGTAAAAAAAAAAAATCTAATTTTCATCGTTTTGTAAGTAAACGATAAGACATTCCTGCAACGGAACGGATCCAAGGCAGACAGCCTGGGGGGGTTTCCTCCTCCTCCTCCTCCTCCGCCTGCCGAGAGCGCCAGTCCACCGCCCTCCTAACCACGCCGTGCCACACACGGTGCCAACATTGCTCCCCCCCCTGCCCCAACACCCCTCGCCCCCCCCGCACCCCCTAAATCAAAACCCCTTCCTCGGCGGATAAATTCCGGTGACGACGTTCGTACGCGGGTACGGCGCGCGGCGCGTCGAACTTCTTTCGCGCCGCACGTCGCCCGGCCGCGCCGACCCGGGGGCGGACGCGGCTTTTACACCGACACCACCTCCCGTCCCGGGGGGCCTTACCACGACGGGCCGCAGCATGCACGCGAAGGAACAGAATCGCGTTCGCTCCTCGATGAGGGCCCGGCGCACCGCCTGCTTCTCCGTCTCCTCCAGCAGCAGGTACATGTCCGTCACGTCCTGCAGGGCGTGCTCCAGCTGCGGCTGGATCTCGCCCTTGCCTGCGGCACGGGGGGGGGGGGGGGGAGCGGACGGCAGAGGGGCTCGCAACGCTTGCCCGCCGAAGCCTACGATTGTTTGTTCACCCGGGGCATGGGGGAGGGGAGGGGAGGAGGGGGGGGGGGAACGGAGCCTTCGCGAGCTCGGCCCCTGAAAATCTGGAAGTCCCTGCCTGCCTGCCACCGGACATACAGAACGTGCTGAGCGTGTCAATTCCATGGTCTGTGCAAGGCGCACCGATTCAGACTTGCCTTCCCATAAAATCAAACGTAAAATAAAAGTATCCTTATTTTTCATGTATTTTATTTATTTGTTATTTTTCTACTCACCTTTCTCATGCGATTCATTGCGCACGGTTGCACTTTATTTCACGTGCAATTGCAATTTACTTTGGTCAGTCGGTGTAAACCGCTGAGGTCAGGACGGGTGTCTTCTCTCATTCCTGTTGCTTTATGCCCCCCCTCCCCCCGTACCGTTCCCGTCTAGTGCACTGGTACTGACTTTATTGAGGGCAATATTGGCACGCAAAGTCAAAATTGATTGATTGACGGACGCCACGGTCACAAACACCGTCGCACTGAAGCAGTGACGGCGACACCGCCGGCATGGTGACAGCATGGTGACGGCATGGTGCCGCCGATACTGCCGGCGTGGTGATGGCACGGTGATGGCACACAAATGTGTGACAGTCGACGTTTTTTTAAAATGTATTTTCAATTAAAAAAATTCACCTGGGAAAATATCCCTCGGGACGATGAATCTCATTTCCAGGGCGTTGATTGTCACCTGCGCACACACAAAGACTAAGATCCCCCGTGTAGCCTGAACAGACTGGTGGGACAAGTGCTGTTAGTGAGCAGCGCCTATGAAGGCCGGCACGGCACACGAGGGGGCGGGTGGCCAAGACCACGCCCGGCCGCCTTTGTCTCCCCAGTGGCGATGTCTACACATCGCACGAGGTACTCATTTGAGGCTGAGTCGACCTAGGAGAGGCCCAGGACCGGTTCAAATAACTGTCACTGGTGTCGGCCGTGAGCGGGAATCGAACTTGGGCGGCCAGGTTCGTAGCGCAGCGCGCGAAGCGTTTCGCTACCGCTCCCCACGCACGCACGCACGCGTACCAAAACGCGTAATACGAGCGACGAGCTAACGTTACATTCGTGGTGACGAAGCAAAACAAAATCGCGAGCGGGAGACAACAAAAAAGTGAGACGGTGGTCAAAAACAAGAAAAACATGGCAAACGGATTCATTCTCAAATCGATCCGCACGCCTGAATCGTGACAAGTCATCGCGCGTGCCCTGCAACTTGTTCTTGTGTCAAAAGCCCCTCTCCAAGGGCCCCGGGACTGTGCCGCTAAGCAGGGTTCCGAGCGGAGCACAAAAGAGGCCCCCCGCGGGATCTAATTCCTGGCCATTCTCACCGCTGGGACCTGGGGCGTGTCTGATCCTAGCCATGGTGCTCGCTCGGTTTATTCAGCCTAAAGCCATGCGGTATGGTCACTTGGGGGGGGGGGGGGGGGAAGAAAACAAAAAAGGTATGGCTGACCACATCATACTTTGCTTATAATAATTGCCATGGGGGAGTGGGTGGGCTGTTGATTGACCATACTTCCCCACGCTGGTCGATGGGTTCGTGAAGAACAGAGCTCGCCCGCGCGCCCGCCCGCCCGCCCGCCCCCGGACTGCCCCAAGCACGGTTCAGATATCACCCGCCAAGTTCGGTAGCCTTGGCCGGGAATCCAACTTGCGCAAGAAGCTGCGAAGCGCAGTTGCAAAAACAACTGCTGCGACAGTGCCCCGCTCTCCAATGCTGTTTGCTTGAATGCTCTTGCAAAATAATGCGTAACTGTACTCGCTGTTACTTTGACGCGTAAATTAACCTTGCCCACAGGTCGTGAATAGCAAAGAAAGAGCACAATGTGTTCATTGTGTAACTAACACAAGCTTCCATTCACGAATCGCGCGCGCGCGCACACACACACACATACACGCGCGCACAAAGACAAATATTCCACGGATAGCCTTAACGGACTGTTGGGGCAAGTGCCGTTTGCGAGCACCTATGAAGGCCGGCACGGCACACGAGGTTGTGGGTGGCCAACACCACGCCCGGCCGCCTTTGTCTCCCCAGTGGTGATGATTTTACACACCGCACCAGGTACTCATTTGAGGCTGAGTCAACCTAAGGGAGACCAAGGACCGGTTCAGACAATCGTCACTGGGATGAGTGGGAATCGAACCCGGGTAGCCAGATTCGTAGCGCAGCGCGCTGACCGGTACACCACCGCTCCCCACATACGCGCACACACAACAACAACCGCCATTCGCCACTAAGTGCCAGGCTATGTGCACCCTGAGGCCACACACACACACATGCACGCACACACGCGCCTTGCATTCGTGCTTCAACATCATCGCAGCCAATTTACGGTATGACGCGTTTTCTTTGGAATTTCCACGCCGAGGGAATCAAAATCTTTCGTAGTATTGTATATAAAAACATAAAATAGGGCGGAATTACCATTTATATAAAAGCGTAAAGAGCTCGAGTGTTCGGGAAAACTGCAAGGTGGTTTGTTAGTCGAAAGCGAATGGCATTCGAGGCCACGCGGTGCCTCGAGCTACAGCTTGCTACGCGACAACATGGTCTACAAATCCCTTCGTGGTCTCGCTCCACCATATCTCGCCATGCTTGACTACTTCCACGCGTCGCCTTCTCGCCCTCTACATTCTCAATATCTGCTGTCTGTCTCTCTCTCTCTCTGTTCCTTCTTCTCTGTAGCTCTGTCTCTCTCTTCTTGCCTCCCTGGAATAAACTTCCCCTTCCACATTAAGCAGTCACCTTTGCTCACTGGTTACCACTCTGCACTCTAGCTCACCCCACGACTCCCCCTCATAACCGCGACCACTGCTGCTTTTCCCTCTTCATATTCTCATTATATGGCGATCACTCATTAAGCCCGTCCACTCAATCCAATCATCACAATTCACTGTCACGAATTTAGCTTTCGCCAAATTCACGCAACATCACAGATCCTCTCTCCCCCATTGCTTCCTCTCATCTATTTTATCCACCTCATCGACCACCATTACCATTCATGCGTTCTACCGTCCGTTCATTCTGTGTGAAGCGCCTCGCGTAAGGCGCCTATGTGCATTATTTCAAGGTAAGATTTTTCGGCGGATGCAAGGGCATTTGCGAACTACGCAAAAATGAACCCCCCGAAGGGCCCCAGGCAGTTCAATTCCCGGCACGGCCGTCATCGGCAGCGAACGACGGCCGAAGCTGTCCCAGGGCCCCCTTCCATCAACATCAACCTTGCACTGACCCAGCGTGGTGAAGTATGGATAAACAACCGGCTGTGACCAAAGATGGCGAGGGGCAGCGAGTTTACGACAACAACAAAGATGGCCGTAAAATGAATTCTGGGGGGTTGGTTTTTTTTTTTGGTCACTTTCCCAGTAAACATTCCCAACGTCGCATGTTGCTTGCGGTCGGAACCCGTTCACCCGTTCACGTCGGTGTGCCCCCAGCGTCCCCGCGTTGACTGCGAGGACACGCGAGGACACGCGAGACGCGACTCTTAAGAGCATTAGGCATCACCGACGCTCCGCCGAGCCACAAACAAAGATCGTGGAAAGTTGGGCACCCCCCCCTCCTCCCTTCCCCCCCCTCCTCCCTTCCCCCCCCTCCTCCCTTCCCCCCCCCCCTCCAGCCCAGTGGCGGTCGTCCAACGCGTAATTTACGCCGGAGTTCGTCCACTGCCCTTGTTAAGGCATTCCTGCTACGCCCGTGAAAGAACGTTTACAGCCCTTTCTAAAAAGGCACCAACTTGGCTCGGCTGCTTCCCCCCCACCTCCCTCTCTCCCCCCCCCCTCCCGCCTCCCATCGCTTCCCGGTCGGCACTGTTGGTACAGCTTCCCACTGGGAGCAAACTTGATCTGAGGAAACAGCTCGGCGGTGGCGTAGCCGTGGGGGGGGGGGGGGGGTCTTGTGTGGAGGGTGGTGGAGATGGGGAGGGAGGAGGTGGGGGGGCTGCCGCTCTGAAGAGGCTCCTCCACAGCGGCGACGACACCGATGAATCGGGGGGGGGGGGGGGGGAACGGCACTCGCACCGCCGCTCCGTCCGGCGGCGCCGAACCTCGGCGCGTTTTCTTCGTCGCCGTGCAGAGTCACCAATTTCAGCGGCGGCGGCGGCGGCACGAGGCCGGCGGACTAATTGGCGTCAGTTGGCGGCAAGGGGTTGGCGGTGCGCAGTGGCAACACTCGTGCCCCGCAGCGCGACTCCAGTAGACGCGGAACGTCGGGCCGAACTGTTCGAACCTCGTGCCGACGGAGCAACGTCGCAACGTTTAATGGGAGTTTTCTGGATTCGATCGCACGCTTTGGTGCCGCTCAGCGTGTGACTTTGTATGCTCTCCCACTGTTCTGGGTGGCTTTTTTTCCGGGTTCTCCAGTTTCCTGGCATAGCTACAAAAAAAAAACCACCAACGTGCATTCTCAAACTGGTCTTGGGCCTAGCCTTCCAGTGCTGAAGATTTACACCGCGGCGACAACAGCAGCAGCAGCGGCGGCGGCAGCGGCAACTTGTGTGTGCGTGTTTATGTTGGACTTCTTTCGCGCCGTACGTAGCCAACCGTGCTCATCGGCGGTGCAGGGGGACGGACAACAAACTAAACACACACAAAAAGCAGCGTTTGAAGAAGTGAGTTTCGCAATCTACACGGAAACGTGCGTGGCTTCCAGTGGCTTCCTAATATCGACATCACTGCAGACGCCTGGCAGGATCCTCCTGAGAGGACAACTACCGGTGGCTTCGAGCGGATTGTCACTCGCTCAACGACCTCAGCAGGGATGATGGGGTCGAGCCATCTGCCAAAAAAGGATTTGTCCTCGCAAGTTAAGAAAATAAATGTTGCTTTCATTGGCATTATGATGACGTCTATTTTTCCTGCGACATGTTGTTCATGCTATGTTCGCCAGGGAACCGGTGTTTTTG